TTGTTGACAATTGTTATCATTTCCTGTGTTTTAAAAAAATATATCTTTTCTATGAAACGCAAATTGTGGCGAAAATGTTTTTTAAATACGTTTAATTGTTAAGTAAATGGCGATATTCTACAATATTAGGAAGTCGGATAGTCTTTCCAAAATCTGCAAAATGAGAGAGATCTAATTATAATGTATTAATATATACTACCTTTCCTAACTTATAAACCTAACATGATGACACCTAATCAAAAACTGACAGATCTAAGTCCTGGACCATTCTCAAGCCCTGGAATCCAAGCCCAGGATTCGAACTCGTGATGTCCAGGATCACCCCCAAACGTACACAGTACTACCGTGACAACTATAGACGATCACTATTGCGGTGGTCACAGTACTGTGTACCCTTGGGGGGTGATTCTGGACGTCATGGGTTCGAATCCTGGTCGGGTTATGTAGAGCAACAAAGAGTAAAGAGAGCTGGGAAGTGTATGTTGAGTGATGAGCTCACACGACTGTGAACTGCTCTGGAGAAGACCACTACTTAACACACCATCCACGCCTTCTTGAGGTTATCTTGAGATGATTTCGGGGCTTTAGTGTCCCCGCGGCCCGGTCCTCGACCAGGCCTCCACTCCCAGGAAGCAGCCCGTGACAGCTGACTAGCACCCAGGTACCTATTTTACTGCTAGGTAACATGGGCATAGGGTGAAAGAAACTCTGCCCATTGTTTCTCGCAGGCGCCCGGGATCGAACCCGGGACCACAGGATCACAAGTCCAGCGTGCTGTCCGCTCGGCTGACCAGCTCCCTGGCCTTAATTAAAGCCTAGCCTCCGGGAGCACGGAGATGCATCACAGGGGCAGCCGTCCTCCTAAGGTTTCCAAACGTCAAGAAACTGGCGTACTAAAGTGTCTTTATCCTAACCTACCAGAGGACCCCCCAACAAACAGAAAACGAGACAGTATGTCAATTACCTGAGCCACTGCCAGGTCTCTCGTATGACAATTTTTTGGCCCTAGGTAGAGTATTCCGTCAAAATGCGACGTTCTGTTAGGAGGACGGGTTGTGTGATTGTGTGAAGGTGGACTCCAGGGGTAAGATTCACGAAGCACTTACGCAAGTACTTACGAACGTGCACATCTTTCCTCAATCTTTGACGGCTGTGGTTACATTTATTGAACATTTTACAAGCATGAAAACTGCCCAATCAACTGTTTTTATCGTTATAAACAGCCTCCTGGTGCTTCGGAGCTCACTAACTGTTTAATAATTGTAAACTAAGCTGCCCAAGACTGAGGAAAGATGTACACATTCGTAAGTTCTTGCGTAACTGCTTCGTGAATCTGGCCCCCAGACCTCTGAACCCTGGTACGTATGTTGGTTACCATTGTAAACGCCCTTCAGTCATCTCTGGTTGAGTGCTCAATTCATCTCTACACAATATGATGTCTATCTCTATCCCAGTCCATGGAGGACTGAAGATAATGTATAAATCATTATACAGCACTTGATTAGCATTGTATAAATGAATGGCCTCGTCTGTGGAAGAAAAAAAAGGAGTATGTTCCCGTCTTACAACTAATGTCTTTGATTGAGGAATGGAAGACACTTTTTTATAAATATTTACTTGCAGTAAAGCAAGTTTATTGACACCAACAGTCCAAACGAATACACAAACGATTGCTCTGTTATTATTAAATCGTGGTTGTAATGTTTTCATTTAACTGCTCAAACGGCTGCTTATATTCTCCTAATAGGTTACACTAATGTTTTTAATAGATGTTCAAACCACCGAGTTGTTCTCTTAATAGGATGGTCAAATGTTTTTGGTTATCTTAATATAAAAATTGCAACACAATATTTCTAAAATTTGGCTCTTCTGTTTAACAAGTAATTAGTACTTACTGCATTCATTGCAATTTCGATAGAAGATGAACTATAGACAGGGGTAATAGAGAGACAGTCAGACAGAAAATCAGACGGTCTGTCAATCATACCAATATACATTGAAAGAAAATGATCTAGCAGAGAGAAGTTTACAATTATATTTAGACAATGTAAGGAAGACAGAAACAAACACTCACACGGGCAAAAATATAGGTTTCTCACCTTATCTTACTCTAAATCAACACAAAATATCATCAAACACAAGCAAACAAAAATCCAAAAAATGAAAACGTTTGTACCACAAAAACACTTTGAAGCTGTATTTGAAATATTTACTATATACATTTTTTCAAAAGACAAATTGTGCTATAATGTATTTAAATATACAAAAATGACAATATCAATATGCATAATTCACTTTAAACCTTTATACATACGACAATTATTTAATCGATTACGTAACGTAATTGCAACTGACGAAGATAAAAAAAATCTTTATTAAACGGAGTATTTCCAATATTTAGCGAGTTGTTTACAAATACTTAATTCATCGTTCATATAATTCTTCAATGTTACATCATTACCAAACTCAAGAATTCTTGTCACATATTTTTTTGAAGAACTCATGGGAGCTCTTAAGATACATCCCATGAGTTCTAGTCAAAATTCTGTTTGGTCAAAATCCCATTTTCTTTTTGGTCAAAATATGAGCAAAATTTTCACATTAACGATAGCCTCTTAAACATTTACTTGCAGTATGATAAAAGTAATAATAAAATATAGCAAGAATGTATTTCATTTAATATAGTTCTCGTCTCATTATTGGGCTTTGGAAAGTCTAATTAAAAAGAGGGACTAATTTCGCCATAAATGTTATTCGACTGACTTTGTGAATAAAACTTAAAATACTGTTTATTACAAATTTGGTTCATTATTCTACGAATATGTGAGTGCTTAGCCTTCTAAATTATTCAAACTCTATGTAAAAGCGTTTTGAAATGAGTCATCTAAAGCGTTTTGAAATTATTCATCTAAAGCGGTTTGAAATCATTGAAACTCCATTCTAAACAGTTTTCAAATTATTCATACCCCATGCTAAAGCATTTTGAATTGATTCAAGCCCTATGAAAGATAAGCGAGATGATTCGAAACCTATGATATAATTCTGAATTAAACCAAAGCCTTCTCTAAACCATTTTAAAATTATTCAAACCCAATTCTAAAACATTTCCAAGTGTCGCTCACACCAGTGACGTCTCCAGGTAAACCCACCACGCCACTATACACCTGCAAACCCAACGTCTCCAGGTAAACCCACCACGCCACTATACAGCTGCAAACCCAACGTCTCCAGGTAAACCCACCACGCCACTATACACCAGTGACGTCTCCAGGTAAACCCACCACGCCACTATACACCTGCAAACCCAACGTGTCTGTCCTCTCACTTAACACGTCGTAATTTCAACGGAATCAACCAGTCTTCTTCAATAAAATGCGTCGATTTGGTTCAAAATCAAAGCACCTTAATATTGACGTTTTCTGTTCACTGGCCTCAATAGTTTGTAGGTGGGTTGCATGGGGTTGTTACGTTTCTGGTTAGGCCAAACAGTTTTCCAGTTTACGTTTCTGGTTAGGCCAAACAGTTGTCCAGTTTACGTTTCTGGTTAGGCTAAACAGTTGTGCAGTTTACGTTTCTAGTTAGGCCAAACAGTGGCATTTACGACGTGGCAAGTCTAGAGTAAGGGCTGAGTAAACTGTTGTGGCGCGCATGGAGAACAATCAGCAAGTGATAACTCCACACATATGTTCCTGCCAACTTCGGTGCTCTATCTAGAGTCTGGAATCACCAGCAGGACGGTAATGATGACTCCACTGTTCTCGTCGCAGCTGCAGGCAGCCATAACCCATTACCGAGGATGTTGTTAGTGTTGTAGGTTGGTTAGAGGTGCTGTGGGTTGGTTAGAGGTCATGTGGGTTGGTTAGAGGTGTTGTGGGTTGGTTAGAGGTGTTGTGGGTTGGTTAGAGGTGATGTGGGTTGGTTAGAGGTGATGTGGGTTGGTTAGAGGTGATGTGGGTTGGTTAGAGGTGATGTGGGTTGGTTAGAGGTGTTGTGGGTTGGTTAGAGGTGTTGTGTGTTGGTTAGAGGTGTTGTGGGTTGGTTAGAGGTGATGTGGGTTGGTTAGAGGTGATGTGGGTTGGTTAGAGGTGATGTGGGTTGGTTAGAGGTGATGTGGGTTGGTTAGAGGTGTTGTGGGTTGGTTAGAGGTGTTATGGGTTGGTTAGAGGTGTTGTGGGTTGGTTAGAGGTGTTGTGGGTTGGTTAGAGGTGTTGTGGGTTGGTTAGAGGTGATGTGGGTTGGTTAGAGGTGATGTGGGTTGGTTAGAGGTGTTGTGGGTTGGTTAGAGGTGTTGTGGGTTGGTTAGAGGTGATGTGGGTTGGTTAGAGGTGATGTGGGTTGGTTAGAGGTGATGTGGGTTGGTTAGAGGTGATGTGGGTTGGTTAGAGGTGTTGTGGGTTGGTTAGAGGTGTTGTGGGTTGGTTAGAGGTGTTGTGGGTTGGTTAGAGGTGTTGTGGGTTGGTTAGAGGTGATGTGGGTTGGTTAGAGGTGATGTGGGTTGGTTAGAGGTGATATGGGTTGGTTAGAGGTGTTGTGGGTTGGTTAGAGGTGTTGTGGGTTGGTTAGGGGTGATGTGGGTTGGTTAGAGGAGTTGTGGGTTGGTTAGAGGTGATGTGGGTTGGTTAGAGGTGACGTGGGTTGTGTGGAGGTGTTTGTATGTTGTCCTCATATCCCAGCTCATAGTCTGCCTCAGATATTTTCCAAGTGCCACATAGTAACACTGGCTTAACGCTCCTCATAATCACCTTACCCTCACTCATTCTCAATCAAAACACATATCTTCATTTTCTTTTTTACCACCTGGAAGCAACCTTCATTTTCTTCCCGGTGTGATTTAAACTCCCTTATTTCAGGTAGTCTTCTTCTTCTTCCCCTCTTGCTAGTGACATGCTCCCCTTCTTATTATTATTACTCTTCCCTTATCCTCGACCACAAACAGTAATCTCGTCCCTTTTGCTCCCTAGCGGACAATTAATCATCTCTCTCTCTCTCTTCCCCTGCAGGTGGAGAGTGCGACCAACAACAGTTCCGCTGCCCCAACAGCCAGTGTGTGCTAGCGGGCAACGTGTGCGACTCCCAGTGTGACTGTAGCGATTGTGCCGACGAGAGCGACTGTGGACACATCTATACCCGCGTGTCCGGTAGGTCGTCCCTGAAGTTGCTGTAGGAGGAAGCCAGAGTTTGAGGGGAGTGAGAAATGCTGTAAATGCTGGGGAAGGGGGGGGGGGGAATAAGAGACACTGTGAGGAGGGTGAGAGGCTCTATGGCAGGAGTGAGATACGCCGAGAAAGGTGAGACACAGGCGGGGAAGTAAAAGATGTTATGAGGAGAGCGAGAAACGCAATGAGAGGGGTGAGACACGCTGTGAGAGGAGTGAGAGATGCTGTAAGGGAGAGTGAGAGACAAGGTGACGGCGTGAACAGCGCTGTCAGGAGATAAGACACACTCCTACTGATTGACCAAATTAGGGCTACAGACACCCGAAAATATCTCTGGTAAGAATTCTCTCTCAGCCTGTCAGATATAACCCCCCCCCCCCACCACCACCGTCCCCAAGCCTGGTATCTTAATATCTACCAGTGAGGTATTCCCCCGCTAGCCTGGTATCTCTACAAGGCTAGTATCTATCCAGTCCTTGTATCTTTCCCAGCGCGTGAGCCAAGGTATAAAAAAACTCGTGTAATCTGGTAATTGGAGCGAGCAGAGGGTCAGGTCCCTGGAAGAGTGTAATGAACTATTTGGTTTCTTCAGCAGATGTAACCAGGCTCCCTCCCTCCCTCCCTCCCTTCCTCCCTCCCTCCCTCCCTCCCTCCCTCCCTCCCTTCCTCCCTCCCTCCCTCCCTCCCTCCTGACTTTCCACAATGTAATTTCAAACAAGTTTATTTATATATATAAACAGCATTTTCTAATCAATTAAACCTTGAAGTGCGCATCTATATAAAAGTACTACGACACTGCGCATGCCGTAAAACAGATCAAACATCATATGGAGCAAAATATCGCATTTGGTACTCGGAGCAGTATATAAGGCTGCGCCCAAATATGCACGATATATTAGCATCGTTGTGCATATTTAGGCGTAGGTTAGGTTAGGAGTTCAATAGGTTCGGTTGGCAATTATTGGTATTTGTCAACCGGTTCTCTGGTCAGGCTCGTTAAAGCGGCGCGGCCGATGCCCAGTTCCCAAGATGTACTCCTCATTTTAAATGAACTTCAAAATTAAAAATTACAAAATTTAAAAATTGATTTGTATAATTAGAATTGGATATCTAATGATTTAATTAATGAAGTAATAATTAATTCTAAATTTATTAATTTCTGAGTAGTAACAGAAAATATAAAAGGTAGAAATTCGAAATAAGAGACTACATTCTTTTTTTTCTGCTGATAGATCTAAAACTTTTTTTTAAAAAGAGATAATGTTGGATTGGTCCTGCAAGTTTCAGCTTTCGGTCCCCAATAACGGGAACTAAAGTAGAGCTGAATTGCCCATCTCGGTGTGGAATTGCTCCAGGGAATGGGGCAACAGACGGTCACTGACAAGAGTTCTATTGTCAGGAATATGAGAGACATAACAGGGAAATTGAAGAGAACTGGTCCCGCGCGAGCACCATTCCCACGCTCTATTGATGTGGAGGGAGCCGGTGGCTGAGCGGACAGAACACTGTACGCGTGATCCTGTGGTCTCTGGTTCGATCCCGGGCGCCGGCGAGAAACAATGGGCAGAGTTTCTTTGACCTTATGCCCCTGTTACCTAGCAGTAAATAGGTACCTGGGAGTTAGTCAGCTGTCACGGGCTGCTTCCTGGAGGTGGAGGGCTGGTCGAGGACCGGGCCGTGGGGACACTAAGCCCCGAAATCATCTCAAGATATGTCGCAGTGAGGAGCCCTGTACCCTACACCTCAGTACATGGCAGTACTCCGGACTGCATGTATCCTGCACACACACACACATGGTACAGGACTGCATGTATCCTGCACACACACACACATGGTACAGGACTGCATGTATCCTGCACACACACACACATGGTACAGGACTGCATGTATCCTGCACACACACACACATGGTACAGGACTGCATGTATCCTGTACCCCAAGTGGGCAACACACACACTCCCCAGTAAACGTCGATTCAACGTTGAATTAAGCTTGCGTGAACGTCAAACTCTTTCTGTACATTGTGCCCACTGGCAACGTTTTGTCAATGCTGGATCAACGTTATCATCCTTGGATCAACGTTATCATCTTTGGATCAACGTTATCATCCTTGGATCAACGTTGTTAAGGCAGAATTTGCGTCGTCAACGTTAATTCATTGTTATATCAACGTCATCTACCCAGATTTACCCCGACAGGGGGGGGGGGCAGGAGGGCCGGGACATGTTTGGGAAACGTTCACTGAACCTTTCCCCTTCCCCCCTCCCCCCTCCCAGATAAAGCTGGGTAAACGACATTCTTGTAACAACGATCTAACGACGATAATTAACATTGTTCATGTTCTGATAACACTGTTCGTTCTCTGATAACATTGATCATGCTCTAATAACGTTGATAACATTGAGCCTACGTTGACATTGTTGATCCTGCGTTGATTAATCGTTACTGGAGCAGGTTTTATACTCCCTGGGTAGGACCAATATTATCAACCTTGATTGAATGTTACATCAGTCCCGTTGGTGTAGATTCATGGCGGTGTAAATGAGTCGAATTTCAGCAGAGCGCCGACTATTAAATTGACTCCGTGAGTAGAAAATGGGGGAACACTGCATGGCGCACAGAAAACGAAAATTCCAGTAGTGTGTCAGGTTATTGATCAGTGTTATTGAACTGATTAATGATGATTGGGGATTTCAAGAGACGTAATCAGCTGAAAAAAATGGGATGAGAGTAAGGAAAAAAACAAAAAACTAATTTTTGTACATAGAATAGTGATGAGTCGTATTTTTAATTATTTCGCAAATTTCATTTATTCGGCTTTTGCTAAGAATAAATTTATAATTTAGGTTTTATTTTTCCTATACATTCAATTAATTTTCATATATTTATACGCTTTGTGAGTAGACGTGACGGGTTCCCCACCTGTATTGTAAGGGTTTATATCATTTTTATATCATTTATAATGGCGTTTCCCCCCTGAGGCACCCTGTGTCTCTTCTGCCATGGTGCTGCGACCTAGTATAGTGATCGAGGTTCCAAGTCGTCCTCACAGTGTTCATTCCCGTCAATATTTGGAGTTTGGATAACTTTTCAACCATGCCATGATGGGGATGAGCCAGAAGGCTACGGTGCTTTAAGATGAATGAATAAGAGTGGGCATATGTCGTTACCCAACAACCATAGAACGTAATCACAATGTTCTTTACAACGTTCCAGAAACGTAGTCATAGTGAAAATAACGTTGTTGTAACGTTTAATATAACGTTGTTGTAACGTTATTTTTTTACGTTACGTTGTTGTGTGCTGGGATATATAGAAGTGGTTCTTATAGCTATAAAACATTAAGCGACACAATGTTTAAGGAAAGCGACTTGTGTAACGCTTCGCTAACTTTGCTAATCACTTCCCACCGGCAGCAATTAGATGGCTTAATTACGGTCAACCTTCACTTACATTATCAATCAGTCTCACTCTCATGGTCCTTGCTTAAATCCGTCCTCAGGCTCGGCTCATTCCATCCAGCTGCCGACCCCCAAAACCCTTTAATCAATGTTAATTGGTTTATTCTGTTTATTCTTAATAGGAATTTTCTCAAATATAAATTATTATTATGTATTAACATATTGTGCATATTTATGTGTAGGTTAGGTTAGAAGTTTAGGTTTTGTTATCGATTATTTGTATTTGAATAACGTGGGGTGAAGCATTTACCGAGCAGCGATGCGAGCAGAGGTGGTCAAAGAAGCATAGATCATGAAATGTTCGAGCATCGTCAGTTTTGAGTCGTATGTAAAATATTTTTCATTCTTTAACAGGGAGTTTGACAGCTGCATGGCATGAACATTTTGCCTTTGTAGATGAGGACGGACTGCAATGCACTCGCTGGAGGGTCAAATCCTCTAACATTTTGCGTTATAAAAAAAAACTTAATTGTTTTTTACAACCCGTTATAAAAACTCTGGCAATAAACCGCTTCCAGAATAGCTGGCACCTTTTCAGAATAGCTGGCACCTTTTCAGAATAGCTGGCACCTTTTCAGAATAGCTGGCACCTTTTCAGAATAGCTGGCACCTTTTCAGAATAGCTGGCACCTTTTCAGAATAGCTGGCACCTTTTCAGAATAGCTGGCACCTTTTCAGAATAGCTGGCAACAAATTCCCTGGAATCTTTTTTCCCCCAAAACAGCTTTCTAGAAATAACTATCAATTTGCCATAAAAAAATGCCTATGAAAAAACTGAATACTTTTCATTCAAGCTTGACGTTGACTAGTTTTTTTCAAACAGCTTTTAAGAATTAACAATCAATATCAGATTCTCCCAACCTTAATAATTTAGTAATTTCCTTATAAACATTTAAATTTTTTTTACAATATTTAAACCAAGTCAATAACAATACTTGTATATTTTAATTAACAACACGTTAGTAAATAAATATATCAAAGATTATAAGGACACAATTAACTATGATAATATTAATAAAATCTTTAAAATAATAGGAATTAGAAGTTTTTTACCAATTACTAAGGAAGGGACGGCTAGGAATTTTGACAATATATAGATATGGGAGGTGCCAATTATTGATGAAATTGGAATGAGACAGCCACTTACAACTTAAATTTTGGCCACCCCATCACAGAACATCCCGTGGAACCATATAACATGTACATTATCATCCACACGTCCATGGAAATCAACCTTCCAATTACCTAGGACCAGATTCACGAAGCAGTTACGGAAGTACTTACGAACCTGTACATCTTTTCTCAATCTTTGGCGGCTTTGTTTGCAATTATTAAACAGTTAATGAGCTCCGAAGCACCAGGAGGCTGTTTATAGCAATAAAAACAGTTGATTGGGAAGTTTTCATGCTTGTAAACTGTTTAATAAAAGTAACCAAAGCCGTCAAAGATTGAGGAAAGATGTACACGTTCGTAAGTATTTGCGTAACTGCTTCGTGAATCTGGCCCCAGGACTCTAGGAGA